ATATATATATATATACATATATATATTATTCATACCTTCGGTGTATAGGAAGCAAGCAGATTTTGATATCAAATTTTGGGGTAAAAAAGTACGTCTTATACACCGAAAAATACGGTAACAGACATATTTTTTATTAATCAAAAACGATGCTTGATCTATCAAAAAAAGCCTTTAGTTTCATTAAAAATGAATTAGTTCATGAAGAAAAAATATTAAATCCTATTACCTGAGCATTTTCAAAACACGGATTTATCGAATGTGCTCATGTTATAAGATTTCGTATTTATTTCTTTACCTGATTTTTTTCAAATTACATGTTTTCCTAACACCATAAATGAATTAGAATACAATCATATTTGGATATCATGAAGTATTATTTTATGGGTGCTTTTAAAAGTGAAATGTGTTAAATTTATGTCAGAACAGATGTTCATCCCATTATCTGTAACGTACACACACGCCTACTTCTTGTTCAGTAGTCGTATATTATACAGTAGAGATTTAACATATACTGGATACGATTTTTCACATGACTTAACCAGCTTTTTGCAACTGCTTTAATTCATTGAATCTTCCCGACTTCGTGCCGAGATAATATATATATTTTAATTTCCATTCTCTGAATAAAATTATATAACAAAATAAGAAGTCAGTTTAAAAGAATGTCTACCTCAATATGATCATACAGGGTTCTAATGACAGGATGGGTTTCTAGGTTTTGTTGAGTAGATTCTTGAGCAGCTTGTTCAGGAGGCATGGCACTCTTAGCCAACATTCTGTCCACGTCTAAGATCTATAAAAATGACCACAATTACTCCTACACCTTTTCTGCTAATAACCTAAAAGGATGATGGGAAACTACACAAATAACTACTTTAACTCAGTTTCAGCTAATCAGACATTTTAAATGTTTAATTTATCTCGTATTAAATAATCAATACTATACTAATGTACAGATCACATCAACACTCTACTAAATGACAAGTCACATGTTTACTCTCTAGAACTTAGATAATCAAGTTAGGTTTATACTACACACTACCAGAATTGCTGATGGGGATGACGTTAATTATATGCCAATTCACAATTTCATTCTACTAATTTAATTCATACTGAATATGTAACATTTCTAAAACTTCTGTTCTTTTGCTCTGAAGTGCTGGTTAAATATTCTTATATGACAGAAAAATACTGTAAGTTTTATTAAACATATATGCGTAGAAGATATATCATATAACCTCGTACATTATTAAAATCTATTTTAACTCTACCCTGCTGTTTTTATTTATTTATTCATAAATTTACAGCCAAAATGGATAAGTAACTATAGATAAAAACAAAAAATACAAAACAACTATACACAATAATTATCCATAATTGGACATTTGTATTTTAAATAACTTGGTACTGGGAGTTAACCAATCATCTAATGGAATTTTATTTAGAATAATTGGAGCTAACTAAAAAAAATACTTGGAGCTCAAAACGGAATTACTTCGTGGACATATGTAGTGTTTTTGCCAAAAGGAATATAAACTTTCACCAGAGAGAGTTAACAAGTTCATATCAGAATTAACTACTGTAATATTATTTGCAATACAAATGAATCGGTAAACACAGACTTGATAATTTGTTAAAACTTCATAGTCTTTAAATTTACTAGTCACAGATGCTCTATATGGAAGACCAATCATTAGTCTTAAGACTCTATTTTGTAATAACCAGATTGGTTTTAATGCATTGAACTTTCTACCCCATACATTTATACAATAAATTATTTGACTATAAAAGATGGCAAAGTAAATTTGAGAAAGTGTTTGAAGTGGAAACACTTTCTTACACCATAATATATACTATTCTAGCAAGTTTTTTGGAAGTTATTTCTATTTATTTATCCCATTTAAGGTTGTTCTGAACAATAACTCCCAGAATCCTAATTGAATCAACCCTGGATAAATCATTTCTGTTCACTTTCAAATCGGCATTAACTTGTTCCCTTGAAATAATCATGTATTGTAGCTTATGAATGTTTAAAACTAGACAATTTTCAATAAACCAAGTGGCGATAGAGAGCAATTCTTCATTCAATGTTTTATAACACTTAACAAGAGAATCTGTTTCTATAACAAGAGTCATGTCATCGGCATAAAGATAGCAACCATCTTTTGAATATACAGATATTAAATCGTTAACATAAATAATAAATAAACGAGGGCCACTGATTGAGCCCTGAGGAACTCCACAATGAATATTACAGAAATTAGAACTTATACCATTAATTGAAGTCAAAAATTGCCTATTTTTTAAATAAGATTTTAAGATGTCATAAATTTTACCTCGTAGACCATAAAGATTACATATAAAAAGTAAAACTGTATGATTAACACTATCAAACTTCTTTGCGTTTTTACAATTCTCTTCTTAAAAAATTTAATGAAATGTTTACCAGGTTATCTGTTTTTCATTGATTTTTATTTATTTATTTTCTGAGGAGACATTGCAACATTATTCGTAATTTTTGCAGGCTTAGTAAAAGACTTAAGTATTACAATTATTATGAACTTCCAATCAAAAGCAAGCTTACAACATAGAAAAGAGGTAGATTAAGACCAACAATGAACATAAAAAGTACTTTGTGAAATTTACTTGGTAAAACAGTAGCATTAAAATAATTACGACATTCACATACTGTTAACATGAGATACAAAACTGGAGAATTAATAATAAATTAAGCCTTTATACCCCGGTATTAGATAACCAATAATAATGTGCATTAATCAGAACTTTAGAATATTTTATATATTACTATATACTAATCTTAGTAACTGAATACAGTTTAAGGAACAGGAATACTATGAGAATTGGTGTATAGCATCGGTAGACGTCACAGCTTCAAACACATGAATGAGTTAGCTGCATGTGATTTCCATACAAAATATGGGTGAGAAATACTACATGTAAAATTAAAACATTTTATTTAATATAAAAATACTTCTGATTTTCCCTTTCCTACCTTGTGGTTGTGTGATGCTAGTAACTCTTGAGTTTTGTTTACACGCATAAACCACCAATGATGCTCTCAGTACATCTAACACAGAACATTTTCTACTAAACCAAGGACCTGATACGAACTACCATTAACATAACATATGATATAGAATACACTAAAAAGGCAAGGTTCATAATATGCTATCTTAAACTCATTAATACAATGTCTATCCACACACAATAAAACAGTAATGTTTTTAAGCAACGTGTTCTGAGTACTTACTGATTGAATAAAAGCTGAACATCCTTTGGCTTACCTTAATAGAAGCATCCACAGAACCAGTAGCTACTAACTGACCTGAAAAAAATATTAATACACATTACAGAAATTCATTTTATCATAACAAAGATATTTTTTAACAAGTTAACAACATTACAGCCACCAAGATTTCTGGAGTAAGGTAATGTTATATATCTAGTTATAGATGTGTATTAATAACATTACAGAAACCAAGGTTTCTAGAGTGATGTTTAATTATCTGTACAGTTTGTTAGATGATTTATATCTATATATCTAGTTATAAATGTGTATTAATAACATTACAGAAACCAAGATTTCTAGAGTGATGTCCAATTATCTGTACAGTTTTTTCGATGATTTATATCTATATATGTACTTATAAATGTGTATTAATAACCTTACAGAAACCAAGATTTCTAGAGTGATGTCCAATTATCTGTACAGTTTTTTAGATGATTTATATCTATATATGTACTTATAAATGTGTGTATATTGCTACAGAAGATTAGTAATTGTTACCGTTCGGGCTAAATGCTCCAGCTCGGCAAGGTGCCTTATGAGAAGTCACGTAGCAGGTCTCATAAGTGGAAGGTTCTGGTGCTAGTGATGGTGCTATTAGATAAGAACAGTCAACAGTTAAAAAACAGATACCAGAAACAATCAGATATGTTGACTACCCTCAACTTAGTACAGCATTCAAATCTGAGCATAATGTTACTGAAAATGTTGTAATTGATTCTAGCTAACAGAATTTGAGTTAAAAAGCTTAGCAAAGGAAAATAAAAAATATGTATTCAATGTTTTGATCAAATGACTTTTGTTGGTGAAGATAAATTTTTCAAAACAATTATCACATATTTATATTTCTTTTAGAGCAGTTTCTTTTCCTCAAAGTTCTTCATGTTCTCAGATTCCACCAACCTGTAATAGTATTTGTTTGCCACATCATTGGCATATTTTATACAGTAAAAACTTTGTGTTGAGAAATTCCTACCCTGGAAAGTTTGAGTGAGAGGTGCAAGTTATTTCAAAAATGTTGAGATTTTTTACATTAAACAAATTGAACTGAGGTCGAAAGGCAGCCTAAGTCTCCTAATGTGCTAAGTGCTTGTTAATGTAAGTAGTGTAAGAAGGACTATAAACAAAGCATGAACATGACAACTACTGCTGGTAAACGTACAACAAAATAATGTTTTGATTTTCTGCATAATGTCACCAAGAATCAACAATGGGACCTTTTATCAGTTCAAATTCAACCAACTCTTTTTGTTACCATTATTAACTACACACTCATTTTTTTTATCTTCCATTTCTAAATGCTTTTGCAATATTATTGTAAATTTTTTTCACAATCAGTATATCTAGTGGAAGTTATTTTGTAGTCAATGGGTTTAAATAACATGTTATTCATATTGTTGTCATGTAAAATTCACCTTGAGTTCAAACTTTTGGTGCTTCGAAAAGTAATACGAAGTTTGAATTAATAACTGTCAACTTAACCTTCATTCTGGTTATTCTTTATGGCTATTTAATGACATGACTGATCCAATGAAAGCATGTGGTAGAAATTAAACATGATCTGCATGATAACGTATATATATATATATTGCACATGCATCTAAAAATACACATTTTTACAAAATTTCAATCTTGTACTTTACTAAATAGTCAATAATAACTGGTCTAAGAAAGACAAAAAAAACAAAAAACAAACCTTCTGTATCATATTCTAGATCAATACCACCACCAGGTGTAACATTTTCTGCTTTGATACCCTGTCCTCCTTGCTGCCCTGAAAACAATTAAAATTCACAATAATTTCAACAAATAATATTACATTACAAACTTTCTATATGTTGAGAGGAATTATCCTCACACTTTTATTTCGCAAGTTAAAATATTTTACAGAAAAAATGCCCAATAAATGAAAATTGATACAAATATGAAAGGTTCTTAGCAGATACACTGAAAAGGAGCTGTTTTTAAAAAAAAAATTAGTTTATGCACTCAGTCAACTAACCTATATAAATGCTAGTGTGTATCACATCACGCTTGATTTCTCAAAATAGGAGGAGTCATAAAAGCCAAAATGCATTTAACCCGATAGAATAGTTCAATTACTGTCTGCTCATTATGATTTTAGCGATGGGGGTGCACGGGGGCCATGAAACCTTATAAGTGTAGTGAGTGATGTAATTATATTTTACTAGCATATAGCCCATCAAAAAGGTGATGGGGCAAGTACTACCACCCCATAATATACCCTAATCTCACATTTCATAACTAACTGAAATAAATAAATTTTTCAAAATTAAGCTTGACCAACAAAGAGGCAGAAAAGTGCAGTCGAGGCAGTCAAATGTCGGTAAATTCCTTTGTGAGCCAATCAGAATTAAGATCACTCATGAAATGAATTCATGGCATATTCATAGAATAATTATTAATAAAAATCAGTTAGATTAACAACTTCTAATTTATAGCATCAAAAGTATAACCTAATATTGTTGTTAGTCTATGTACTGAAAGTATAAAATGAAATCTATAGACAACAAAACTGTAAAAATATTTGTTGATTTCTTAATTTAGAGTGTCCGTTGAGTAAAGAGGTTTGTTTTTTATTTCAAATGTTGTTGATATAACAGAAAATAGCTTAATTCCAAAACAATTTAAGTTTAAAATTGAATTGATATTTTTACTTTCCTAAGTTTTAAGCATTTGGCTCTAGGCTAGGTGATTCCACACTACATCTTTACTTTAGACTTCCAGGTTCAGTAGTTAGCACACAGGATCACTTACGAAAGTGGTAATATTTTCAAAATGAGACACATAACTCGAGCGCTTTTGAATAGTTGACTATTCTTCGTCAGGAGAATAAAGACTTATTTAAACTTTAGACTTATTATACCAAGTTTTATCACATAAAGGTGATAATTGTTTGTTTGTTGAATTTTATTGCAAAGCTTTTGGAGGGCTTTCTGTGCCAAGAATCCCTAATTTTGAAGTGATAGTTAAAGGGAAAGCAGATAATGAACACTACCCACCACCAAGTATTGGGTTATTCTTCACCAATAAATAGCTGGATTGACTGTCACATTATGAAACTCCCATGGCCAAAAGGATGACCAATGGGTTTTGATCCCACAGCCTTCAGATTGTGAGTTGAGCAACTTAACCACAAGGCCATGCCAGGCCAAAAAATAATAATAGAATAAAACAGTAATTATGATTCAGATAACAAAATAGCATTGTCTTAGATCTCAATTACATGGTGTGAACTGAAAACTATCTTACTGTTCAAGATTTTAATTACACATGAAAAAACATGCACAATTAACAAACTTGTATATAAATTTCACAAACTTTAATTGAAGTATAATTAACTTTCTTGTAAAGCAAAGTGTTTTACATCTGAGACTAGATGAAAGATATTTACAAGTTTTTTAGACCTACCTTCTTCTGATTTCAAACCCAAAGTGACAATGTGTAATAATCTATCCGAGGGTGGGCAGGCAGGATGAGCCTTAACTAAGTTGGACAAACTAACTGCTAATGTCTGATGACCATCGTAAAAGAGCTGACTGAAAACAATAATGTAGTTTACAACATTTCAGACATTACACAAAAACACACATAACTACAACTACAAACACACATGTATGGTATATCACAACTTCTCTGAAAGTGTACAATTATTTAAAATCCTTATTTGTTTATCCTATTACAACGCTGACAAGTTAATTATATATATTCAATCTTTCTAGCCCAACAAAGCACATTGAGATGAAGTAATTGTTTTCTCATCACCAAAATTGTAAATCTGGAAAAGTAACAATGTGAATCCTAGTTTACCATTTAATCTGCTGAAATATATAGTTTGGGTAATGACAGGAAAAATATAATTAGTATTTTTCTTGAAATATCTGTATAAATATAAGTTCATTGATGTAAGTAAAGGACAACTCAGACATCATACAAAGACTCATGCACAATAGTTGTCTATGTATTGTAGCAAAATCTAGTTACTAATTAAAGAAAACACATAACACCTTTAACAACCGATGAACAATTTATTATAATATAGTAATGTAAAAATCCCATGCATAACAGAGGTTGTGTAGGTGGTATAGTAAAAAACATACTTACTATTATTAAAAACACATTAAAAGTATATGAA